GCTGCATTGCAAAAGGAACATTGTCGGGGAGAATGAGAGACCAGGCAGCAAGACCAGTAAGATGGGGTCACTGGGTGGGAGACAGTGCCTCTCCCTCCAGGATGGCAGCACACTGGTAGATGGGAACCCATAGTGGTTCCAGAAAGTGATCACCCCACTTAAAACTTCTTCCCAGAAGCACTGTTTCCCAGCCATCGTGTTGATCTTAATCTCTCTCCAAAGAGCAGGGATTACTGCATCACTCCATGGGTGGTTCCAGGGCAGTGCTACCCAACCTTGGCTGCTGGTCAAAATCACCTGGGGAGCTTTAAAAATAGGAGTGCTGGGCCCCACCCAAGAGAGGACAATGTAATGGGTCTTGGGTGGGACTCAGGCACTGGCCTTTTTAAGAGCTCCCCAAATGATGCCAATGGGCAACCAGGAGCCAGAGAAATCAGGGTTTCCAGCCAGGCCTCGTTTTTGTTAGGCAGCCTCAGAGGCTCTTCCAGACTAGAGGATGACTCTTCTCTCAAACCAAAGGAATTCGAGGGCCCAGAAAGGAGGTCCACGGCCTGCACAGACGTGGTGAGAGTTTGGCATGGGCCTTTCTGGAAATTCTTTTTATCCTCCCCGTTCCCCCATCATTTTCTCAAGGCAAAAATAAATACCAACATCCCCGCTTGTGTCAAAGTGATGGGTGTGTACGCCCTCTGCGTGAAAAGTTATGCCCTGAAGCCGAGTCAGACAACCAAACAAAACCTCGCTGTCAGTGAGTGGATGTGTCCAATATTTCAAGCAAAACTGTTTAAAGCTATTTTGTAATGTGACGCTAAGTGGATAATGGAAGGCTATGGTGAGGCCCAGGGGATGAATGCATTTTTGTTTGCAGTTTGAAAATCAATAGCAGACTTGAAAATCCGATGTGCACTCATGCACGAGACAATCCATGTCATTGAAGTGAGGCCGGTCCACAGCCTTGAGAGGGAGGCCAGCAGCCCCGGGAGCAGGACAGACCCTCCGGCTGCAGCAGGCCCACTCCTGCTTTGGGAAGAGTAGTTGGCCTTCACCACCAATCCTTGCAAACAACCAACTCCATGCCAATGCTGCAGGGAGCTAAGCACTTTCTGAATCTACATCTGTGCCATGGAGGCACTGAGTTCAGAGAGAACATTCAGTTCACCGGGAATGAAGGTCTTGCCCGTACCTACCTGGAGGCTGGGAGCCTCCTCGTCCAGCCTCTATGGGCCCCAACAAATGTTGTAAGACATCATCTCACGTGTGCTGTCTGATGGGGAAATGGCAACATCAAGGCAAACAAGCATTCATGTGGGAAGTTCTCAAATTCTCCGGCCTGAATTGTTGATTCTTCCAAGTTGAGGGGGCCCTACCCTGGGTCCACATCTGCCTTTTAGTGACTGCATAAGTCCACTGGGGTTGGGTGTGGAATTCCACGTGGAGGTCAACTTTCTGCGAGGAATTCCCATTGGCTTTCTTGGATTCTCCCAGAAACCCTTCAGCCCAAAAGCTGGAGGCTGACCCACCCTCCCAATCCGGCCCACCCAGTCTGTCCAGCTTCCAGAAGCTCCCAAGTCGTTGTGCTCTTTTGGCTTTTAAACATATATTCTTATTATAGAAGTGAGGCATTCTCCTTACAGAAAGGGGAGAAAGTCAAGGTAACACCATGACATCTAGCCTTCCAGACCTCTGATGCTAAACTCAATTATGATGGTGCTGCCTCCAGCTCCACGACTCTCAGCATCCCGGGAAAAAGCACAGATTCCTAAGTCCTCTCTGAAGTCTCTGCACTTGGCCCTAACAGCAATGGAAGCAGGAAACCTTTACTGAGCCACGACGACGATCCAGCATTATCTCAGTAGATGCTATTATGATCATATTTCACAGATGAGGAAACTGAGGTTCAGGGAATTAAGTCACTTTGCCCATCATGCCCAGCCTCAATCTACATTTTCTTGGTCACCCCTGCCTCTCCCTGCCAGGTCCTCCCATGCCCTGAGCTTTTTGGACACACTCTTCTTCGCTTGGCGTGGACGTAGTTCCAACATTTTCCTTCTGCAGCACTTACTCTTCAGGGTACTTTTCAGAGTCCAGAGCAAATGCTACCTCTTGGGTTATATCTCCCTGGTTACTGCCAGGCCATGCCTCATAACTGGACTGGGGGACGTGTGCTTGATCTTTAACTCACCTGGGCACTGTTTCTGCTCTGTAGACTGTCCTTCCAGAGTGTGGGGCCATGGGTGCCCATGGCCCAGGTCCACACTCCTCATCCAGCACTGGGAATCTAATTGCTGCTCAATAAAAATCGCATGATAACCAACTGAGTGTTTCCAAATCGGCTCTCTGATATCATCTAGATATGACCTCTCACCTGCCCATAACACGAAATGAAGCCCATAGGACAAAATTTGACTATGAATTCATTCTCATTCTGCATCCAGCCTTTTGAGTAATAATAATAGTCCATATTTACGGACTCTTGTTTTGGCCGGGTGTCCCCCAAAGCGAACCTAGAGAAAAGGGGTTTAGGGACCTGGGCACAAGTGAATTACTTTGGGGGTAAATTTAGAAAGTACCAGGAGGGGAGATGAGGCCCAGAGGTGAGAAAGCCAACCATGAATGGGTGGTACGGGGGTGACTGGACTCTGGGCTGTTGGGACCCTCTGTAGAGGCCTGTGGAAGACGCCTCAGAATTATCTTCCCCAGAAACACACACAGGGGTGTTTTCCACCTATTCCATCCCCTCCTTGGGGGGCTGCTCTGAGGACATTGATTCCCTGCACAGCCCAAGGATGCTCTTTCAGCCTAGAAAGTTCTCTGGTGGAGAGAGGCAAGTGTTGAAAGAAGGAAGCTGTGAGTGGTCTCAGGAATGATCCACCAAAGTGTAGTGGCCTCTGGGGAGGCTGAGGGGTAATCTGGCCACTCCAGGTTTGTCACAAGTGTTTTTGTCTGTGCCAGGAACACTGCCGGGGACTTTGCACTCATCTCCTGTTCTGATTTCACCTTAACCCTCCCAAGAGGCGGTGTCTATTGCCCACCAGTCTTATCACCATTTTAAATATGAGAAACTGAGATTCAGGGAAGCGAAGGAGTGTGCTGGTGGTCATTCCGAGCAGCTGGAAAGTGAGACCTTGAAACCCATTTATCCGTCTGATTCCGAATCTCAGACCCTAACCGCGGTGTGGGGGCCTCCAGAAAAGCAAGCCCGAGGAAAGGGTCTGGATGCCACCCCGTGGGGGCCATGTCGGGAAGGTGGTAGCAGCAGAGGAAAAGCTGAGTCACTGCACCTGAAATTCTGCTGATCTGACCCATCCGCACACTTTTAGGAAAAACAAGCCACTCTCTTTGATCAGTGCCCAGGGCCATGATGGGCTCAGGTTCAAAAACAACACATCCCTAAAGTGTGGAAGCCCTTTGGGTTCTGGGAAAGTGGGAGAATGGATTTGTTCTTCCTGAAGTTTATTCAAGGTTTCCTCCTCACTGGGTTGCCCAAGCCTCCTTGGGAGAGGCAGCGTGGCAGCAGACCCCTCAACCACACCAACCCTGCAGGGCTCAGGGCAAGGATGGATGGCGCCAGCCCCAACAGCACATGGCGGGATGCAGACCTTTCAGGAGAGACCTTGAGGAGGGGCAGAGTCCAGAGGAAGGCCTCAGTTTCCCTGCAGGTGCACCTTTTGGGTGGCCAGGGGCCGGGGCCTGTTCTAACCATACGAGTGTGCTTGCCAGCTTCCAGAAGCACCAGTGCTGTGAAATACCCAATCAAACCAGTACAGCCAAGCTTAGGACATACCCTCATTACCACAGTAAATGTCAGCATTGTATTTAGCCACGAAAAGAAAGAGCGAGCTATGGGATGCTTTGATAGTCGCTTAAACTCTTCAAATTTTTAAATACTCTCTGAAATTCTTCCTAGATCTTTTTATCACAAACTTGTGCAGCCAAAGTTTCACATCGATAGTGACTTCAAGATTTTGAAGAGGGACCTTCATGCGTCGGCCAAGAATTGCACATAGCTATTTCCAGCGTAAAACCTGATTTTCTTTGGGAAAAAAAAAAAAAGCTATGTTTGGGGAGGTGGTGGGTAAAAGGAGTGACTTCTAATGAGCATGGTTTTTCGGGGGTGATGATGAAAATGTTCTAAAATTGATTGTTGTGATAGTTGCATAAATCTGTGAGTACAGTTAAAACCACTGAATTGTACACTTTCCACGGCTGAATTGTATGGTAGATTAACTACATCTCAGTAAGACTGCTATGAAAAAGAAAGTTACGTTCACAGAAGTATGCTAAAGCTTCTCATTAAAATTTTTGAAATGATTTACTTGGACAATTCATGCCTATTCAAATGTAAAGCCATTTATTATTCATTTCATGTAAATGAAAATAGAATTAGCATCCTATTTTCCCGTAATTATTTTATAGAAAGCAAACACAGGGATGTCCCCCAAATCCTCCGCTTACCCCACCATGCCTGCAGATACGGTTATCATGTATGTGTCACCCTGCAGGAATGGTGGGAATGTCCTGAAATAAAGTCCTTTGGTCCTCGCTACAGGACAGTCAAGGAGATGGAAAGATCAGATGACACTGAAAATATTCACAGCCAGCCTGGCTGGGGCCTGGGCAGACAGAACAAACACCCCTGGAGGCACTGGGCCCCGGCAGGTGCCCTCGGGTGAGTTAGGGCTACAGGTTAAACTGCTCAGGATGGGGAAGCAAACTCCTCCCTCACCTGACCCGTCTCCCCAGACAGGCTGCTGCCTTCAGCCGCTTCCCTGTCTCTCCCTTTCTGCTCCAAGGAGGGATTTGTTTAACTTTTATTTTAGGCTCAGAGGTACATGTGCAGGTTTGTTATATCGGTAAACTGCAGGTCACAGGGGTTTGGTGAACACATTGTTTCATCACCCAGATGATGAACAGAGCAACCAATAGATACTTTTTGGATCCTCATCCCCTTCCCCCACCCGCCCCGCACCTTCAGGTGGGGGTCTGGAGCCCAGCTCACCTGCCGTGCCTGGGAAGGCTTTGCAGGGCCCTGCCCGGCCTCGCCATGTCCATCCTGCTGTGAGCAGCTGGGCTCCTGGCTTCTCCCACCGCGTCTCCACAGGCTGATGCTGTCGGTGGTGTGTGCACCCTCCTGCTTCACCTGTTGGTCCAGACCAACCCTGTGTTCCCTCCTGTTGTCCTTGGCCACCTCAGGATAAGGGAAGGGGCTGGGGGATTCTCTGCACTGTCACTCGGTCACTCCGCGGACCCCGCCATCCAACACCCTCTGGCCTCCCAGAACTGCTCTGCTGGCCAGCATGGCTGACGGGTGCTCCAAGGCCCAGGCTCAGAATCACTGTCTTTGTCCTCAAGAGGATGGCGCAGGGTGAACACGTTCCCTTGAACATTTTCTTTGAAGACAACCTATTGACGAGTGGACGGAGTGGCAGGTCCCCAGCCATGGGAGGAACTCTGGGGTCCACCAGGCCCGACCCGCCCTCTGCCTGCCACTTACGGAGCCCTTCAATGAGCCAGGCACGAAGCTAACTAGCCACAGGTTTCCCTCATCTCTTCACAGCTGCTCGCGGAGCGGGGCTTGTTACCCTCATATGAGGAAACCGAGGCACGTGGGGGCGAACTAGCTCACAGAACCAACTCCTGAGTGGTGCAGGCAGGCTAAGAACCCCACTGCCCGCTGTTAACCTGTCCTGAGCGTCCCGAACCAGGTCGCTCATTGTACACTTGCACACGTACACGGCACCCAGAGACACATCGTCACGGGTGACCCCACCTGCACAAAGGTCAGGGCGCAGGGCTCGGATGGCAGAGGTGGCTGCAAAGCCACAGCCCCCCCACCCACCTTCTCGCCCTGCAACTGTGATGAGCTGCTGCACTCTGTGTGTCTCAGTTGCCTCATCTGTACCCTGAAGATATTAGTACCTGCCGTGCCATATTGTGTTACAAAAATAAGCTTATGTGTGAAAAATATTATGTATTTTTAAAACTTAGATTGTGCGTACAATACCAAGACCTGATGCTATGACAGCTACTATTATTAATGCCATTGTTGCCCCTGCCCTGCCACTAGATAAGGTCCTTGTGGCCGGGCCAGGAAGGACGCGGGGAAGCCCAGGAGCTCTGAAGCTCCTGCCCTTCCCAGGAATGGAGTCCACTCAGCACACCTACTCCTGCTCCCGCTCCCCGAGCTTCCACAGACGAATCCTGCCAGGAAAGGCTCTGCCCTGAGCACCTCCACCCCCACCAACGTGACACATCTTCATGACATCAGTCCTTCTAGGAGCTTTCACATGTGCACCCAGGTGTACTTACGTACCCAGGCGTCTCTATCGCCTGTATTCATGCGTTATTCTCTGAACGAAATTCTGAGACCAGCATTGGAGGGCAGTGAGCATAAGCGGGTGAAAGACAGAGGCTGGCCTACGAAATGTCCATCAATTCCCAATGGAATCCTCTCCTTGAGCCCCCTAGGACTGACCATTCAGTGCTATCACCTGGAGGAAGAGGTGTGGCGGGAAGATGCCACCTTCTCCAGAAACACATGGCATGGACAAGCTCTCTCAGTGCTGGGTAGTTTCACACACATTGCGTGTGTTCTAACTCAATCTCCCGAAAGGTTTACCTCAAAGGATGGAACCCAAAGATAGTTATTTCCATTTTCATCTCCATTTTACAGATGGGGAAACTGACAGCAGTGGGGGAGACACTTTCCAAAGGTCAAGACAGTGGAGGGGGGCAAAGCCAGCATGGAGAGCCCGCAGGCCGCGCGGAGGCCCTGCGTTGAGCCGTGACATCACACTGCCTCTCTGGCTTTTCTTTGCCAAAAGAAAGAATCCCAGGACACAGAGAGGACCTTGGAGGTCCTCCAAGCAATTCCCTCCTCTCTGTTCTCAGACCACTTGGAGATGGGGAAACTGAGGCACGAGGTGCTTAAGGGAAGTTTCTAAATCTACAAGGCAATCAGAGACCTTCTTTAACCAGCGACACCAAGCTCCTGCCCTTTGGTTCGACAACCTCTCTGATTCTCTTAGAAACGGCAGGAAAAAAAGTTCAAGCAAGAAAGCGAGCCCAATTTTTTACTTTTTTGTGAGGAGAAGGACTTCATATAGGACATTGCACGGTGAGTGCACGCACCATAGACGCACATGCACACCCTCTCCCCATCCAGCGAGGCAAGCGGCCAGCTCTAATGATAATACATTTCCTGAGAACTTTCCACTCGCTCTGAAGCACTTCTAATTGTGTCTGGAGCCTTTCCTTCCTACCCCACAGGATGAGCTGGGATATGCCGCTCAGGAGTTTTCTCTCTTGCACTGGCCTGGAGCTGTGCCAGGAGCCTTAGAGACGAGTTGAGGGGGATTCCCGGCTCCCCACATCCCGCCATCTCCCTGGGCTGCATTTTCTCACCTGCAAAATGGGGAGGCAGCAATACCTGCCTCCACGTGCAGGTGTTTCTGGAAGGATTCAGTGGATGGCGACTGCGGGTCATCCAGCTGCCATTGGTCAATGAGTCCCAGCTGTTCTCATGGTGATTCTGAAAGGGGTAGACAAGAGGCAAATTTCTTCATTTATTCTTTGTTGTGAAGCCACGATTATCTTTTAAGGCGCTCTCAGGATTAACAGCAACTACCTTCTCTTTCCTGAAGCCAAATACTTCTTTAAGAACACGTGGGGGTCTGGGCCAGCATGTCCCCAGCTGGTTTCACAACTCACCAGGTGTCCCCAACCACCTCCTGGAGTTTCATGAACTAAGCCCACCTTAACCTACACACATTGTAATATCTTATTCTATTACATAAAATGTTTGCAGTGCATAATATTTACATGTTATACAATATACATACCTAATATGTAATATGCTAGATATTATATAATGTTTATAATATATGATATAACATAAGAAGGTGATGAATATTATATAATGTTTATAATATATGATATAACATAAGAAGGTGATGCTGTGGTCAGGTATAACAGGCGATTACACAGAAAGAACTTCAGGGAAAGGAGACCCCCTTGGCCTTGTGCTCAAGCGTTGGGCCAGTCCTCTGAGGCTGTGAGTTATCACCTAGCCCTACCACTTAAACCTCGCCTCACCAAGCCTCAGTTTCCAGATCTGTCACATGGGAAACAAGGCCCTTATCATCACATATTGCAGATTCAGTGGGCATAGTCACCGCACCAGTGGTGCATCCGGAGGGCACACATGGTGGAAGGCATTGTTTGCCCTGGCTCATCTAAGTCCTCGGTAACTCCAGGAAGAAGGCATTCTATCAGTCCTTGATGTACAGGTGGGGAACCAAGGCTGGGAGAGGTGGAATCTCCTATCCAAAGTCATGGGACTGTGGAGAGAAGGTTCTGAATCTTGAGTCCCCAAAGCCCATGTCCCCTACGTCTGTGTGCACTGCCTTACAAAGTCAGGGGCTGTAAGGCTCTTTATCTGAATTTCCAGTCCAGCAAGAGCCAACTCGCAACACTCAGCCATGCTGCTGTGTCTTTTCCTCCCCACCCACTTCCACCGTCCACCTGAACTGATTTCCCAGCCACACTCTGAAAAGGAGTAGATGTGGGTTACAAGGTACCTTCCATCATTCCAGAGATCAGTTCTGATCGTTCCCCGGGCCTCCCAAGAGGAATGTCTGTGCTCTCTGCTCTCACGTCTGACTGGTCGTCAGAATCTAGCAGCCCTTGTAGCTTAGAATAAACCGTGAAAGACTCTGCTCTTTAGCAAATCTTATTTCACTGCACTAGAACCATAAGTCCCATCACCCAGTCCCCTTCACCTTAGTGGCCACAGTATCCCCAGGGTCCAACACTGTGCCTGGCATGAGGCCAGGAGGTACTAAACATATATGCAGGCTTCAGCACCAGAAAGACCTGCAGTAACTGTGCCTGACCACTTACTAATGGTGTGGCCCAGGCAGGTTACTTCACTCCTCCAAGCCTCAGTTTTTTTCATCTGTAAAATGAGGACAATTTTACAGCATAGCAGCCGGCTTACTGGGTGTCTGACAGTGTTAAATAGAATGTATAGGGGACTCAGCACAGTACTCAATGAATGATAGCTATCATCATCACCATAACCATGACAATCATCACCATCATGATCCCCAACACCATCACCATCACACATCATCAGCATCACCATCACCATCATCAACATCATCATTATCATCATCACCACCATAATCACCATCACTATCATCACCGTGCCATACTGCTGTCGCTCGCGAGTCACCACCACTATCACCGTATGATCATCATCACCACCATCACCATCATCATCATTATCATCATCACCACCATAATCACCATCACTATCATCATGATCACCACCCACTATCACCGTTATGATCATCACCACCACCATCGCCATCATCATCATCATTATCATCATCACCACCATAATCACCATCATCTTGTCCACCACCATCATTACCATCTATACATCATTATCACCATCACCATTACCATCACCATCATTATCACCATCACCATTATTCATCACCATCATTATCATCACCATCACCATCATTACCACCATCCTGCATCATTACCATCACCATCATTATCACCATGACTACCACCATCACCATCATCCTGCATCGCATTATCATCATCATCACCTGCATCAGCATCATCATCATCACCATCATCATCACCACTACCATCATCACTATCAACATCACCATCATCATCACCACCATCATTACCATCACCATCATTATCACCATCACCATCACTACCATCACCATCATTATCACCATCACCATCTCTCCGTCACCATCATTATCACCATCACCATCACTACCATCACCATCATTATCATTACCATCATTATCATCACCACTTTCTCTGTGAACACTTTAGTGAGACTTACCCTCCTTTGCCAGCCACCGGACTCAGTTTGGGCCAGTCAAGGAAACAGCCTGGGCACTGCAGCATAAGTCTCCTCAGCATCAGCAGTCTGTTTGACCCCAGCTGAAGCCATCGGTATTGGCATGGCGAGGCGGGAAGGCTAGGCGTCGCAGTATCGTCCTGGGGTCCTGTGCATATTGTGGAGCAATTGTTAGTTTTCAGCAACGCTCTGCCCTCCCCGTCTGCAAAGTTACGGCTTGGCGGTCCGGTCGGGGTGGTGAGAATGACTCGGTCTGTGGCCTTCTTTGGGTCATAAAGTGAAGTCACTTTGACTCTCATCACCAAATAGAGCATTTCTTTTTCATTGAGATCAGTGTGTACTCAGCAGGATGAAGCCATGCCCGGCAGGTTGTGCCCGAATTGTCAGGAACGTTTGGGTGCAGATGAGAGGCGGGCGAGGATATGCACACATTTTCAAAGACCACAGCCGTTGCTGAATATACACTCCATTGTGTTAACAGCTAACAGTTCTCCAATCAAGTCTTGTGTGACAGAGAGATCCCTCAATTTACTTCCATAAATACCTTTAGCATGGAGCTTGTGTGTTCTTGTTTGATGATGTGTGAGCTTTTTGTGGTGATTCCTTTGAAAATGGTTGTTATATAGTTTCTTTGACGAGGCTGAGCAGCTGCTTATGCCATGCTTTGAGTTGAACAACATTTGCTGTTGTGTAGTCGATCTCGTTGTGTCTTCTGACATATGCATTAGCTGATGTTTCTTCGAGTAGTCTGGACCGGGCCTTGGGTGATAAGCCCCACCAGACAGTGAGTTTGTTTCTCCTTGTTAGCCACAGTAACAGCATTATTATCCCATTTGTGGATAGAAATAAGACCAAAAGGTCTTATATTTATCAATCATCATTATCATCATCACCACCATAATCACCATCACTATCATCATGATCACCACCACTATCACCATTATGATCATCACCACCACCATCACCATCATCAACATCATCATTATCATCATCACCACCATAATCACCATCATCATCACCACCATCATTACCATCACCATCATTATCACCATCACCATCATTACCATCACCATCATTATCACCATCACCATCACCATCATTATCATCACCATCACCATCATTACCACCATCCTGCATCATTACCATCACCATCATTATCACCATGACTACCACCATCACCATCATCCTGCATCGCATTATCATCATCATCACCTGCATCAGCATCATCATCATCACCATCATCATCACCACTACCATCATCACTATCAACATCACCATCATCATCACCACCATCATTACCATCACCATCATTATCACCATCACCATCACTACCATCACCATCATTATCACCATCACCATCTCTCCGTCACCATCATTATCACCATCACCATCACTACCATCACCATCATTATCATTACCATCATTATCATCACCACTTTCTCTGTGAACACTTTAGTGAGACTTACCCTCCTTTGCCAGCCACCGGACTCAGTTTGGGCCAGTCAAGGAAACAGCCTGGGCACTGCAGCATAAGTCTCCTCAGCATCAGCAGTCTGTTTGACCCCAGCTGAAGCCATCGGTATTGGCATGGCGAGGCGGGAAGGCTAGGCGTCGCAGTATCGTCCTGGGGTCCTGTGCATATTGTGGAGCAATTGTTAGTTTTCAGCAACGCTCTGCCCTCCCCGTCTGCAAAGTTACGGCTTGGCGGTCCGGTCGGGGTGGTGAGAATGACTCGGTCTGTGGCCTTCTTTGGGTCATAAAGTGAAGTCACTTTGACTCTCATCACCAAATAGAGCATTTCTTTTTCATTGAGATCAGTGTGTACTCAGCAGGATGAAGCCATGCCCGGCAGGTTGTGCCCGAATTGTCAGGAACGTTTGGGTGCAGATGAGAGGCGGGCGAGGATATGCACACATTTTCAAAGACCACAGCCGTTGCTGAATATACACTCCATTGTGTTAACAGCTAACAGTTCTCCAATCAAGTCATCATTACCACCATCACCATCATTACCATCACCATCATTATCACCATGACTACCACCATCACCATCATCACCATCACCATTATCATCACATCATCACCACCATCAACATCATCATCATCACCATCATCATCACCACTACCATCATCACTATCAACATCACCATCATCATCACCACCATCATTACCATCACCATCATTATCACCATCACCATCACTACCATCACCATCATTATCACCATCACCATCACTACCATCACCATCATTATCACCATCACCATCACTACCATCACCATCATTATCATTACCATCATTATCATCACCACTTTCTCTGTGGACACTTTGGTGAGACTTACCCTCATGTCAGCCACCGAGGACTCAGTTTGGAGCTAGCCAAGAAGCAACCCTGAGGACTTTTATAACATAAGTCTCCTCAGCATCAGCAGTCTGTTTGACTTAGCTGGCTCACTCCAGTAATAGCATGGCAAAGGCAGGAAGGCCCAGAGCACGTCCACTGTGCTCTGATCCCTGGGGGTCCTGGCACATAATGTGGAGCAGGTGGGTGGATTTCAGCAACACTACCCTCCCCCATCTCTACAAAGGAGATTCCCAGCTTGGCGGTCCAGTCAGGGTGTGGTGAGAATGACTCAGTCTGTGGCCTTCTTTTAGATCCTCCTCAGGAAGTGAAGAAGTCACTTTGAAGGCTCTCACTCACAAATAGAACATTTTCTTCCCACTCGTGAGATCAGTGTGTACTCAACCGGGATGAGAAGCCATGCCAACAGGTTGTGCCAAGGTGTCAGGAACGTTTAGATTCCTGAATGAGGAAACGAGAAGCAGGGATATGCACACATTTCCAAAGACCCACGGCCGTTGCTGAATGTCTCCATTGCGGTAACAGCTAACAGTTTTCTAATCCCCGAAGAATGTATGTGACGGAGGAGATCCCCTCAATTCACTTCCTTCCCCGCAGAAGCCACCTTCAGCATGGAGCTTATGTCATTCTTGGCTGATGATGTGGCAAGCTTTTATGAGTGATTCCTTCCCAAGAAAATGGTTGTTATACCGGTTTCTTTGACGAGGGCCCCAGGCCAGCTGTGCCAACTGCCATGCTGAGAGTTGAACAACATTTGCTGGTGACCTTGATCTGATCTCTGGTTGACCCGTCTTCTGACATATGCGATGGCTGATGTTTCTTGAGGGTATGATCTGGACCAAGGCCTTGGGTGATGGCTTCACAGGTGGTATTAGGTTTGCTCTCCTTAACAACCTGATAACTTAACATTTTTCAATATCCCATTTGTGGATGAGAAACCAAGGCCAAAAAAGGTCATATAATTTATACGAAGTAATTTCAACTAAAAAGTAGGAAGGTAGGATTCAGGGCCAGGAAATCTCTTCCCCAGACCCCTATCATTAACCTCTATGATATCTGGTCTCTGCTGGTCATTGGGCGGCCACTTCCACCCCTCCCCTGCTTTGTATCACGGGGAACTACATTTTCCAGGTTCCTGTGTGCTCTGACTTCTAAGCAGGTTCAGCCAGTGGGAGGCACTGGTGGAGGACTTCTGAGAAAAGTATTTCTCCTCTCTCTCTCTCTCTCTCTCTCTCTCTCTCTCTCTCTCCACCACCTCCCACCCCCACCACCATCTCCCTCTCTCTCTCTGCCCACCTCCTTCTGGCTCTAGCTCCCATAGGAATGCCCTTCCCTCCATGGTCCCTATTCCCACTGGACAGGTTGTCAAGGGTCCAGCTTTCACCAGTTTCACCACCTAGCTCCTGGGTTCCATCACACCATCTCCTCCTTTGTCACTCCAGCTCCAGGAGTGACTTTCTGCTGTGGCTGATCCCTGAGGTGCCTCATCACCTGCAGCTTGGCAGCTCCCCTGGGTCCTCACCTGTAAAACCAGCCCCCTATATTAAATCCCTCCATGTAAAATACCTGATGTGACTTCTGTTTGCAGAGTGGACATGAGCTGATGGATCCTCAGCCTTGGTGGCAGTTGTGAGGAGGGGGAGTGGTAGGGAATGGGGAAATACAGTGAGTGCAAACTCTGTCTCCCTGTCATCACACCCCATGCCTAACAGACATCATCTCATCTCACTCTCACAATCAAACTTTTAAAGCAGGTGATGTCATTAGCCCCATTTTAAAGAGGAGGACCCTCCAGCTTTGTTAGGGTAAATAACTTGCTCATCTAAAAGAGAACAGAGACGGGAGTCAGCCCTCGTTCTGCTGGGGTGCCAAAGGGGAACTCCGGCCCCATCCCCACTGCTGCCCCCACTCCCCGCCTGCCCAGCTCCCACTTGCTGCACACAGGAGGCCACTGCTTGATGTGAGCTCCTGCCCCTGACAGGGGCCAGCCCCGTGTGGGCCTGTGGAAAGCCCCACTTCATGCTGCCTTCTACCCCTTAGGATTCTGACCTAAGCTCCTGGGCCTCCTGTGGCCACAGGGCATGGCCTGAGCCAGACGCCCTCAGCTGAGAGTGGCTGTGGCAGGCCCAGATTTACGGCTTTGTTATTCCTGTGTTTTGGAGTTTTTACAGCCCCACGCTCCCTCGAGAACCCTGTGCTTTCTCTAGGACATATCAGTCAGACGACGGAGGAAATACCCCAAATGCTGGGAACATCCTGTGTCACGGTGTCTCCCAGGCCCAGGTACCCACGACCTTTTGTTTGCAGCCCGCGGAGGAGGAGACTGATAAAGAGCAGGGGCTGGGGGGGTAAGGGGGAGGCCCGCAGGGGCTGGGGGGGCAG